TAATTTTATAAATGAATAAATATTCATTTTTATTCTAAAATTAATATAAAATATTTAGAAGAGTTTCTATAAAACTCATATTACCTATTTATTATGAGTTTTTTTTAATAAAAAATCTAATTAGATAAAGAAATATATAAAGAAAATAAATAATTTAGTCTTTCTAATTAGACAAAGAAATATATAAAGAAAATAAATATTTATAAATGAATATAAATATAAATAATCTGGTCTATTTATAAAACTCAAATTACCTATTTATTATTAGTTTTTTTAATATAAGTAATTCTAATTAGTTAAGAAAATATATAAAGAAAATAAATAATTTAGTCTTTCTAATTAGACAAGAAAATATATAAAAACTATAAATAATTTAGTCTATATATAGTCTCCACATCTTTTCTAATTTTATAAATAATATATAAATAATTTTTTAATAAATAAATAAAATATTAGTAAATTTTAGTAAAAAATAGTCTTAATTTTGACGTTATTTTAAGAGTTTGAAAATACATCAATCAATAATTGAATTCCTATTATAAAGTTCAATTAAAAATTATATATTTTTTTATCTCTTTTACCTCGTGTGAATTTTATGTTAATGGTTATTTTAGAATTTATAATTATTTAATTACTTTATTAAATATTAATTTAAATTAAATTTTACTCACATGCAATAGTATATTATTTTTTAATAATAAATTTATATCTTCGATACGTAAGTTTCCTTTTAGAATAACAAAAAAATACCTATTTATTATGAGTTTTATTCTAAAATTAATGTTAGATGTTTAGAAGAAAATTTATAAAACTCAAATTACTCATTTAGAAGAGTTTTTATAAAACTCAAATTACCTATTTACTATGAGTTTTTTTTTAATAAAGGGAAATCTAATTAGATAAAGAAATATATATAGAAAATAAATAATTTAATCTTTTTAATTAGACAAGAAAATATATAAAGGAACTATATAAAAAATATAAATAATCTAATCTATTTAGTTTGTAATAAAAAATAGTCTTGATTTTGATATTGTTTTGAGAGTTTGAAGATGCACCTATCAATAATTGAATTCCTATTGTAAAATTCAATTTAAAATTACATATTTCTGTCAATTTTATGTTTTAAAATTTCCAATTGTTGAATTACTTTTTTAAATATTAATTTTAAGTGCAACACGTGTGAAATTAATATTTTAATGCAACGCACCGTACAATTAATGTTGTACTAGTGTGTGTGTGTATATATATAAGTCTGAGAAAGAGCCCTTTAAGTATTTTAAATATCGGTTTCATCTTCACCACAACCATCAAAGGCTCCACTGTAATTGCCACCACGAGTGATAGCATCAGTATTTTGAATTTGTTTCATCCATTACTTTTTTATACTATAAAAATGAAAAAAAAATAAATTTTACTAACCCCTTGCTATTCGGATCATCATCAAACCGAACTCTCTTTAAATCATATGAACTTTGGGTGAAAATTCTCTGCTGTGCGATTTCTATATTGTCTTTTGCCGTGAGCGTTAAGTGGTCTTGGTTTGGCCACGTTTTACTCCACTTAATATACAGTAAGAATGTATTTGGCATTTACACAACCATTTATTAATAACATTTCACTACCATTTATAAGTATCTTCACCCTCAAAATAAGGTATACACATAATACAGACTAAATAATGTCACATACAAACGTAACTCAATTCACCACCATTTATAAGTATCTTCACCCTCAAAATAAGGTATGCACATAATGCAGACTAAATAATGCCACATACAAACGTAACTCAATTCAACATATCATTTATGTTATAATTTGAAATTAAAGTATTTTAAAAACAATTTAACATGTTAATTTAAAGAATTTAAACCAAAATTAAAATATCTTGGATTAACTTTAGACAACAAACAAAGCACTCGTTTTAAAAAATAACAAAAAGAGCCACATCTTTATTTATTTATTTATTTATTTTCCTTCAAAATATTAGAAAAACATGCACTTAGTTTTAAATTATTTAATATATCTTTGAATTTTTTTTAACAAAGTTTAATATTAATTGTCACACTCACCACCTTCATCATCAAAAGAAAGAATTTGGCAACGTTTAATATTAATTGTCACACTCACCACCTTCACCATCAAAAAAAGGTATTCACATAGTGCTAAAAAAATAATAGTCACACATAAATCTAACTCAATTCAACATATTATTTATATATATTTTTAAGTTAAATTTTATCATAAAAATGGAATATCCAAAAAAAATAGTCACATGTTAATTTAAAGAGAATTTTGAAGGGGATCATGAGGTATTTGACTGTCAACAATCTTTATTATTTAAGTGGTGATGTTACCCTTTTACAAATAGTGATTTTACTTTTTAGACTCCTGTGATATTACGTTTTAGACTTCTGTGATGTTACTTATAAATGGTGGTAAAATGTTAGTTACTTATAAATAGTGGTGTAATTGCCAAATATAATCTTAGTGTCTATTAAGTGGAGTAAAACGTAGCCAAACCAAGATCACTTAACACTCATAGCAGGAGGCAGCATAGAAGTCTCACAGCAGAGGATTTGCGCCCATGAACTTTAAGATACATGAAGTTCCAAATGGTCCTATGCTTTTATTATAATCCCAACACTTTTACATCTTTTATTTTTGTGGGCTGGAATCCCCAAATGAGAATTGTTATAAATTGAAAACCTCTTCCATTCTACTACAATCAGCACCACCAATATCAAGGTTATGTAAGAATAAAATAAAAGATAGGTTCGAGTGCGCTTTACACTCCTATGATATCAATATAGTGCGTATAACTCCCCATTGTTTGTTTATCTCCCTTATATTTTAAAAATAGTGCAAATTAGTGTATTTTGGGCTTTGACCACTATTGACCGGTACCAAAGCTACAAAAAGACTAAAATAGCCTTCTATCTATGATTTAAAAAAACTAATAATATAACATAAAATGTGAAAAGACTAAAATAGCCCTATATCAATACTCCATCTTTATTCTTGTTCTCGACTCTTATCTTGCCCCCCTCTCTCTTTGCAACTGCAAACTACAAAACCATACAAGAATCAGAAGTTCAAAACCAATATATCTATGATTTTGAAGCAATTCGGCTTTGAGTTCGGAGGGGACACCAGGGAAGTCACTCGGATGCAAATCCATACTCACAAGAAGAGGTTGATGGACTGGTTTTTGTTGTTGTATTGGAAACATACTCCGAGGTATGTGAATCATCCTCAACAGAAAGAAAAGAAGAGTCGAGATATGGTTTCTCACTCCGTTATCCATAGAATCGATAGAAATCTCCGATTCCCTCAGCAACATCGGAAGGGGCTTGCTTTTAGAAAGGTAGGGTTCTGCACAAGAATCAAAAGTTCAAAACCAATTAGGAAAAAAAAGTTCAAAACCTAGTACCTATCAAAACCCATATCGGCATATCATTTTAGATTGTTCAAAAAATTAAAACCTATATCTTTCAGTTTCCATTTCAAATTGTTCCAAAAATCAAAACCCATATCTTTCAGTTTCCATTTCAGATTTTTCAAAAAATCAAAACCCATATCTTTTAGTTTCCATTTCAGATTGTTTCAAAAATCAAAACCCATATATTTTGGTTTCCATTTTAGTTTGTTCAAAAAATCAAAACCTATATCTTTCAGTTTCCATCGCCCGCTGTTCCAATTCGGGTTTGCCGTTCGCAAGCTTCAGCCGCTGTCTTACAACTCTCAAGCTTGCCCCCCTCTCTCTGTGTAACTGCTAACTTGTATGTATGGGTTTTGTTTTAAATTTTTTTTTTTTCTAAATCAACTAATCAAGGTCTATAATTCTTGTTTTGCAAACTAAATCCTATTTGGTGAAATTTTTTGTGATCTTTTTTATATAATTTGTTTTAGGGCAAATCATTTCAGCCTCCCCAATCGCCAACTACAAAATTTATAAGAATCAGAAGTTCAAATCCCATATATACACTATATACAAATATATATATATATATATGGTGAGGGTTAGTAAAGAAATATTAATATGGCAATTCTGGAATAAAGGGTTTAAAATGATCATGTGCCATGCACATGACCAACTGGCGTCCAATTCTCACCGGAATAGTCACCAGAGGTGGTTTAATTGTACATTTTTAAATCTAGTACGGATTTATATAAATAAATTTAATTAAAAGGGTGTAAGTCGCACAAATTTAAAACCATAGGGGTGTTTTTCACTTTCCCCTAAAAGATATAACTGAAATTATATATACCTGTATACACACACACACACCCCGTGGCAGAGTCACAAATTTTTTCTGTTAGGGGTAGACAATGTTGAAAAATGAGAATGTATATAATAGAAAAACTTACCAAAATAATATAAATAAAAACTTAAATATTGATAGATAATAAAATACTAATACATTTATAATTGTCCAGAAATCGTATCTCATTACAACAATATATTTAGGAAATTCTACCCTCGTTTTTCCGCTTTCTTCGAAGGAAATTTCAATTTTGCAAAAAAGGATCAACAATCGGTAAAAAAAAAAGGGGCTTAGGGTCAATAAATTGACTAAAAGTTAGACAAAGATGAACTTGCTTTGAATTGTGGAGAGATATTTGTAGATGCCTTTTGAGGAAATTTGAAACCGAAAAAGAAACAATTAGTTATAGTTCTTTGAAACCGAATTAAAAAAATAAAAATAAATAAATAAATTTAGACAAAGAATTCTTATCCTACAAACAAATTGGACAGCTTGAAAAGATATTGAGTAAATCATTGGTATGCTCTTTAATCAAAATACACTATTCAATTAAATAGACCACACTCAAGTATTTAAATTTCCTCAATTAAATAAGTCACACTCAAGAATTTAAATGTCAAGACAAAAAAAAAAAAAGAAAAAAAAAAAAAAAGTAAAGAAAAAGAAAAGACAGGAGTCAGTACCTTATTTACTGATTTAGCATAATATGGTTATAGTGGTTTCTCCCTCTTCTTAACTTGTTTCTTCATCATTATTATCCTTTGCTGCTACTCCCTGAATTAAACAGAGGGTCAACAAATTAAATGAAAAGCATTAGCTAAGTGATGTCTTGTAGCAAGGACAAAGGCACGTGTACATAGTTACCTTTCCTTTCCGAGATTGCTGCAAATAATTATTTAGCTCACTTATATGATTTGGCTTCCTATCTATCCATACTTTTACATCCGGTGGGCTTAAGTATCCAGATGTGAAAGTCTTCAATTCTGGACAGTTGTTTATATCAACACACGTCAAGGATGGGAATTTAAAAGCATTGTTTGCCTGACAAAAACATGTGAGGTTTGGTAGAAATGAAAGTTCCAGATACCCTAGCTGAGAGAACACAATTTCATCCGTGGCATCTTCTCCTCCTCCTTCATTTTTAAGTATTTCTTCCATCACATCACAATTAAGAATACTTAGATTCCTGAGTTGTGTGAGACTTCTTGCTATTGAGAGTGAGAATAGATACATCAGCCTCTTGCATCTTTTAACTATCAAAGATGTTAGGCTGTGAAACACCGGAAGTCCTTCAAGATTGAAGATAACCTCCAATGAGTAACAAGATTCTAGAGTGAGCATTTGGATATTCTCAAACCGCTGTAGCAACTGGGTAGATGCATTTACTAAGTTTTTGCAGTAGCTCACCTCCAGGGATCTTATTACTTTGCAAAAGGGAAGGACATGGCAAGTACCTTCGCAAATGCACTCATCACTCAGTATCAATGTATCCAAGATAGGAAATTCAACCTGTGCATAGAAATCACTCACTGTATTTAGCACCACAATATTCTGATTAAAAAAATAAAGCAAACCAAGCAATAATGAACCTTCTAATTTTTTTGTTCTAATTCCATTTTTATGCTCTACAAATTAATCAATTTCTTCTCAAATTATAGATATATAACTGCATATTAGGTCGTTGACAAGAAAACCCCCCATCCTGCTCACAGCTAGTTGCATTCATTTGAGGCTCTAGCTGGTTTTGATTTTTGAGGCTCTGGTATTTAAATTGGTTTGTGAATTTTCAATAACACCAAAGAAAATGGGGACAATAGTTTCCCCATAACTGTAATAGGAATTAATGGACTTACCACTTCATTTGGCAATGATTGTAAGGGGGCATCCACTGTATTTAGCTCCACAATATTCAGGTTCGGCAATGGTTCAATATTTTTCAGGTATCGGCAAGGAAACATCTCCAATTTGGGACAGCGTTCTACTGTTATTTTTATTACGGATGGAAATTCAGAAATGCAATTCCTGCCGCAAAAGCTCGTCAGGGACGGTAGGCGTTCAAAGACCACTTCATTTAATTGAGGGAACACAAGATTGTTCTCCACTTCTTTTCCCATACCTTTATAGCTTGCACCTGTTTCTTCTGCTCCCTTTGACCCTTCAACTTTAAATACCTCTTGCAGGGAGTCACAGTGTTCCACACGGAGCACTTTTAGGTTCTGGAAACTTGTAAGTGGTTCTGTTGAAGCAACATTTAATAACTTGTTCATTCCCACAATAACCAACTCCTCCAAGCAAGGAAATTTAACCTGCAAAACATCAGCTTGCTTGCTGGTGATAATATTCCTTTCTTTCTCTTGAAAATAATGCAATCTGCCAAATTAATGGTTTAACAGTTTTTAAGGAAAACAATAATAAAGTTTATTACTGATTTCAAGGAAATGTTGATGAAATAACAAAAAGCTACCAAAACACAACATTCAATGGAAGGTTAAGTGGAAATCTAATTGCAATGCATTAACATTTTTTAAGGAAACATATTTATTAGTGTTGTTGATCTGAAATCACATTTATAAAAAAATATGTTGTACTTCAAAAAACTGTCATTGATACATTTAGTTTATTGAAAGAAACTGTAGATAACAAGCTTTACCAAAACACAGGACTAGAAAATGCTTACACAATTGAAGGAGAATTTCATTAAAACTGTAAAAAAAAGAAAAAAAAAAGAAGCGTATCAAGATAATAAAACCAGCCATCCATCCAAATCATATTACGAGGAGGTAATTTTGTATTTTTTTTTCCTTATATTTTTAATAATTTTCAGAGAATTGAATTTTAAATTTCCTTATGCTGATAGATTCCTGATATGTTTACCCTATTATAAACATTAAAATATTTTTTCACTTGTCAACAATATATTAGTATTAGATTGCTCGGCAAGATGACGTTTTGACAAGTGGGTAATGTCGCGCTTTGCTCACACTGGAGAGAATTTATGTGGTGTATTTGTGCAGTGCCAAAAAAGAAAAAAAAAATTACAAAAAAAAAATGTGCCCATTGAACTTTGTTCTCGAGAGTCAAGTCAAAGACGTAGGAAAGTGAAATTACAAAAAAAAAAAATAAATTTTTTTTTTTTTTGAAAAAGACACTTTAGTCCACTTTATACGAAATAATGTCAAGATCTATTTGATAAGGTTAGGTATGATTCTAATATTTTCATTCAGTCTATTTGATTTGTTCTAGGAATCCAAAAATTTTATATATATATATTTTTTATTCATTTTATTTTATCAAATTTCAGGAGTGATAAGTTACGTTTTAACAAAAAAATAAATAAATAAATAAATAAATAAATAAGAAATTGAGATGTGATATGGGTCTGGAAAATTCAATACCAATCAACCCAAAGTGTCTAACCAAATTCAATTCTCATGATTAAAAAAAAAAAAAAAAATAGATTCTAACCAAACTTATTTTTCTCTTTGAACGGTGAAGGTAAAATAGATATTAATAAATTTCAATGCTTGTGTAGTTATGATGATCATGTTTGATCGATGTAATTTTGATCGATATCATCATCTAAATTTATTGATTTGTTAAGTGATATGATCAATAATTGTGGATTAGGATTAATTTAAGGGTACATGAACGTACATACCTTGTGGAAATCTAAGTGACATTTATTAATTTCAGTTGTTCAATGCACCCAAGGTTAACTAGGATTAATTTAAGGACACATGAACGTACATACCTTGTGGTTGAAGAGAGCTTCTCGTTGAGGAATATTCTCCTTCAATATGCTTTCTTTTTCATTTCTGAAGCAGCAGAAACTACTGAAATTTGGCAAACTTGAAAGTTCCATGGTCTTTAATTGAGGAAACATGACGATCTCATCACCACCTTCTTCAATAGCAACCACTTCAACTCCAGATACAATTGAATCAAATAAATTAACTCTGAGACTTTCAAGTTTCTGTAACAACGGGAGTACATTGGGTGGAATGACATTAACTAGTTTCTCACACATATACACTTGAATGAGCCTCAGCTGCAGAAAGGAATCTTCTGCTTGTGAACCTAGGAATAATTGGTTGTCCCATATTGCTGTGAGGCTTTTCAAATTATTAATCTTCAATTCCTCCAAGGCTGGGAACCTAACCTGCAAATTTCATTGCATCACATTTCATGAATTAATATATGAAATCAAGGATGCTTTTAGTTTATTGTACTTCAAAATTTTATGGGTTGATGCTTTAAGATTATTGCACTTAACTTATTTATTAGTGTTGAGGATCTGAAATCACATTTAAAAAAAGAAATACTATACTTCAAAAAACTGTCATAGTGTTGATACTTTTCAAAATAGACATGCAAAGAGCTATTTGTTTGCCCCCAGGGGCTTGGTAGAGTTGGTAAGACAACGGCATGGGGTGCCATATGTCTCAGGTTCGAGTCTGTCCATCTCATTATATTGCCTGACTGAAATTGGTGCTAAGGTGTGGGACCGTCGACAGTATTCCTAAGTTTGTAGCCTAGGGTAGGTCCGAAGGGGAGTTTCTGGTGCCAAAAAAAAAAAATGCTATTTGTTTTTAATTAAGAAAACTTCCTAATCCCGATTGTAACTAGAAAATTCTTTTTAAAGAGAGAACAAAGTGTTGAGGCACTAAAATGGCTGCACTGGCCAATTAGAAAAATACCTTCAGCTAGGTTCAAAGAAATTAAAAAGTACTCCAACTAAAAAGGAGTTTCTAAAGAAAAGAATTGCAATGTAAATGAAATGGTTTGAAAATTGAATTTGCAATCGCAGAGTAATATAGCACATTTTAATAAAGAAATATTGTACTTCAAAAACTGTCATAGTGTTGATGCTTTTAGTTTATTGAAAGAATTTATAGATAACAAGATTCACCAAAACACAGGAATAGAAAAAGCCTACACAATTGAAGGATTTAAATACATAATTATATTGTTTTAAGAAAAACAAATGAAATTCATAATTTAATTAAAATTGTACAAAAAAGTGTATCAAGATAATAAAACCAGCCATCCAAATTATATTAGGAGGAGGTAATTTTGCATTTTTATTTCTATTTTTAGTAATTTTGAGAGTTAAATTTTAAATTTCCTTATGGTGATAGATTTTTGATGAGTTTTCTCTATTATAAACATTAAAATATTTTGTCACTTATCAAAAATATATTATTCGATTGCTTTGCAAGATGAGATTTTGACAAGTGGGTAATGTGGCGCTTTGCCCACACCGGAGAGAATTTATGTGGTGTATTTGTGCAGAGTCAAAAAAGATAGAAAAATAAAAATAAAAATAATTGTTGAAAATAGTTAATGTCATGAACAAAAAAGATATAAAAATAAAAATAAAAGATAGAAAAATAAAAATAAAAATGAAAATAATTGTTGTATTTGTCATTTGAATAAGTGTGGAATGTGGATAGATAAGTGTGGAATGTGGATAGATAATACGGAGCATACCTTATCATTAAACAGTTGTGCAAGGCCGGACACATTGCATTCTTCAGCTGGCGTCTTCGTATTGGCATTGAAGCTTCTCAGTTTTGGTAGAAACGACAACTCCATTTTCTTTAATTGATGAAAAGTAACTGTATCCATGATTTCATTGTCATCTCCAACTATTTCTTCCAAGTTTTCACAGTTAAATATACTTAATTCTTGGAGTTGCAGAAAGCCTCTTGCTGCGGCTGCGGAGAAGAGATATCTCGATCGACACATTCTTACTTCCAAAATACTTAATTTACTAAAAGAACAAGGCACACGTGATCCGATGGTCCTTGAATTCAAATTTGGTCTGCCAAATAAATGTTCTATCCCCTTACAATCCTCAACTCCAAGATACTTCAAGTCTAGAAACCCCTCACCATCTCTGTCTTGACTCACATTCTTTAAAATTTCCAGTTTTTTTAAACGTAGCACTTCAGCTTTCTCCATCAAAATGTGAAGCTCCCTCTTCAATGGAATTCCCACTAGTTTCAATATCCTTGATAGTAGCTCTGTCGAATTTATTATAGAACTGTCAAAAGAATTACTAAAGTAATAGTAGCTCTGTCGAAATTCTTGGCCAATGGATATTTGAAATCTGATTAACGACTTAGACAGGAGCTCACTGATGGGCAGTAACTTGACATTTGGCACTTCAACTTGCAAACTGATTAAGCGAGTCAATGAATTTAGTTCAACCAGGCTTGCATTGCCTTTAATCTCCCATTGGTCAAAGCCTGTAATGTGAAATTCCTCAAGCTGCGATAGACTTGATATGACACCTGGAAGGATTTTGAGCTTGTGAGAGCCTCTCACATCCAACGAGTGCAGACTAGACATATTTCCTATATCCAGAGTCCACTCTTCCAGACTAGCATATTGAATGCTTAGTATCTCAAGTTTTTGTAACTCCTTGAGAAAAGCTAGGTTCACCAATTTGCACTTGTATAGCCTGAACATCCGAAGATTTTGAAGTGACGATGGTACTGTCGAGATGCACATGCCACGCAAATGTAAAACTTCAAGCTTCTCCATCCCTTCAAGAAAGCTACTCGGAACTTCTGATGAACCACCGATGCATTCCAACATTAACGTGCGCAGTTCCGGACATTCTGAATCACTGGGAAGCACAAAATTCTTGTCGAACCTTAATGAGATTCCTCTACAACTTTTACCTTCATCCTCCTCCGGCCACTTTTCCACACCTACTTTCACTAGATACATGACACCTTCTTTTGATGAGATTGATATAGCCACATCTCGAATGACATCGTGCATTTTCACGAAGTTTTCATTTCTACCTTCTAGTAGCAGAGAATATCTCTTGAGGGTATCAACGATTGTATGAACTCTATTCCTAGCTGTTTTCATTGTATCCTTGCATCGGAGAAGCCTCATTCCCAATCCATAGCTGACCAAGTCATCAATAGAAATCTCAGCATCTTCTCCGAACAAGCAACAAAGCAAAAAAATTGACTTCGCATCAACAAGCTCCAGATAGTTGTAGCTTAACTCTATGCGTGAATAGAGTTTTGCTGACATTCCTTCAATGTTCTCTCCCGTGGAATTTCTCAAATGTTCAAGTGCATTTTCCCATATATGCTTACTCTTATTCCTTAATGCTCCTCCAATTGCAAGTATTGCCAAGGGCAAACATGCACATTCTTTACACACTGCTTCCGCTACAAGACGCATTTCATAAGGTTCGATAGAATCTCCCACCTTCTTCTCGAATAGGGACCATGATTCATCTTCCGATAAGAGTCCAATTTCAAAGTTCTCATTTTCAAGAACCCCCATCTCTTTACACACATCTTGGCGCCGAGAGGTGAATAAAATTTTGCAACCCTTAACATGATCATTGGTAGCTGGAAATCCTATGTCCTCCAACTCAATTTTATCATTCCAAATATCATCGATCATTACAAGAATCTTCTTACCGCCTTTCAATCTATTGAGTAGCAGGCCCTTCCTCGCTTCTTCAGATTCTTTATCTAATGTCAAATTCAAACCTTCTGCAAGTTTCTGTTGAATTTCTTTCAGATTTGGATTCTGGGTGAAAACTATCTCGGCAATCTCATCAAAAAGCTGATCTTTTTCAGCTTGTAGGGCAACTTCCTTCATCATCCTTGTTTTTCCAACACCTGGGATTCCATGTATCCCAATCTTGTAATTCCGATGATCTTCAAGTGCCTTCATGATCTTCTCAAAAACAAACTCCCTGGATTGAAAATTCTCATAGTTTAGGCTGTATGTTTTGTGCCAAATACCAGTGAGAGGAGGTCGGTGTCCAACGGAGTCAAAATTGCCAGCCTCTATAAGCTTGGTAACAATATTCTTCTTTTTTTTTCCTTCCTTACCATTCCGGTACCGCGAGCATACATCAATACACTTGAGATTTTCTGTGCCTTGCTGTAATCTGTTGCTGACTTCTTCCATCGTGGGCAGTGAGCTCTGCACTTCGGTCAGCCACCTCGAAACATTATCCTCAACGACTTCAGCATTGTTCAATGCTGCATCCACCCTTGTTTGGACACTAGTCATTGCGTCTCTGAGTTTATTAACTTCATCTTCGAAATCTTTAATGTTTTCCTTGTAGTGGAACAAATAACCAAATTGACGCCTGATGATTTTGTACAAGCTGTCTCTGATGGGCTCCAACATCGTTACCACAATATCACTAGCAATATTGTCGGCCATTTTTAATTCACAAGCAACTTTCAATTTGTTTCCTTTCCTTCTCTCTCTAAGGAGACGATGCAATACAGAATATAAAGGAATTGCCAATAGAAATACAGAAAGCTTACGACTGTTTCTTAGATAAGGAAAAAGCTAAGAAATTAATGGAAGAGACTTCAAAACATACAAGAGAACTGGATGTGTGTTGTTTTTTTTTTTTTGGGAAAGAAAAGTAAAGATTCACAAGGAGAAACTAATTCACATTTAACGGAAAAACTAAGAGCGTGAATGTGGGAAATTACAGAGAGAGAGAGCAAAATACAAAGCAGGAAATGGGAGAGCACAAGAAAAACAGAAAGGTAAAACAGAGAGGAAACTAAAGAAGAGATTAATTTAAAGACATACCTCTGGCATAATATTTCAATTCCAATTAAGTCTGATCCAACACAAATAAATTAGATGAACCGAAAGGGAAGATCGATTCAGTGGAACAGAGAGATGGTCAGACAAGAGAGAACAGAGGGATTGCAAATTGAGAGAGAGAGATGGTGAGACAGTGAGATAAGAGAGCCCAGAGAGAGATGGTGAGACAGTGAGATAAGAGAGAACAGAGGGATTGCAGATTGAGAGAGAGAGAGAGAGATGCAAATTCAGGTAAAGTAAATGGTATGAGAAAAAAGAGAACACGTTTTTCATGTCAGTCAGTCATCATGGCACTGGAATAAGGCACTAGAAAATTTTACAAAAATAAAAATAAAACTTCTAATGTCAGTTTTTAGATATTGGATAATGTAATACATGAATTTACAAGAAATTCTGCGAAATATGATTTTGATTTTGTTTATAATATGGTAAAAAAATTAGTTTTGATGGAAAATTAGGAGAAATACAAACTATATTAGAAGAAGCAAGAGCAAAAAAAAAAATTGGAATAATTGGAGCAGTTTGAACTTTCATTAAGGGTCAAACTTGTTTTAAGAGAATGAAATTACATATCTTATTTAAGAAAAAAGTACTTATACAAACTTCATCATTAACTCAAAAAAATTGCAGTCCAAAATCTATAGAATTAGGCTTAAATGGTTTAAACTTTAAAGTGTGTACAAGTAGACAGTAAATTTAATGAGTGAAATTGGTTTGGATTGCTTTCTTAGAAACTTTGGTCACCAACACATTTATCACTAAAATTTTTTGATTGTGTGATCATTTTTCAATCTAAATCACACTTAAAGTTTGTACATAGACAATAATTATAAAAAATTCCTTATAATTAACTCAGAAAAATTCAAAATTTACAGCTTCAATTTATTCTGTTCAATTAGAATTAGGAAAGACGTTTATAATTAAGTTTATGTTACCCTACACTTTATAACTCAAGATATGTGAAAAATATGTTTTACATCAAAATTATTCATTTTTTTTTTTCTACATTTTTTTTTTTTTTTTCACAAAAACTTGCATCAAAATTTTTCTAGGGGAGTCCCATTACACAAATGATTTCTAAATCTTGGAGATTTTTGATTCTTTGCTATAATAAAAGGGAAGTGAAAGCATCTATGTTAAAAAATTCTTTTGTGTAAGATATGCATAATGTGTAATTTTTATTTATTTTTTTTCTCCAGTAGTGTGTTCAAAAACTCTTTTCTGTAATTTTTTTTTTTTTAATTCCATCAGGATGTTAAGATACATTGCCACCTCACTAATGTGTAAAATTGTTATATATTTTGCACAACCCTTTTACACAGCCAATGTATTTCGTTTCTCTTTCATCTTTCTCATTCTATTAACAAATCAACCCTATATTAAGTAAGTTTGTAAAAATTATATGGGTTTTGGGCATGACACGTGATTGGTTGTTGTTATTGCACATACATTTTTATACAAAAAATATAAAATAATGGCTGGAGTTAAAAATAAATCCAAAATTTGTGTAAATTTATTATGACACATCAGATTTATACAAATATATATATATACACACACACACACAACCGTTGGAGATATGCTCTTAAGATATATTGCCACCTCTTCAATGTGTAAAATTGTTTTGCATTTTGCACAACTCTTTCATACAGCCACGTCAGCATATTTTATTTTTTCTTTCATTTTCTCATTCCATTAATAAATTATATGGTGTGAAAGCAAGACTTCAATGACTTACTTCCCGAATCCCTGTCAATGACACAATACCCCTAAAAACTAATTAGTTGTTATTAGCAAGTACATTTTTATACTAAATATATAAAATAACGACTGGAGCTAAAAATAAGTAGTTTAAAATTTTTGTGTGAATTTACTGTGACATATCATATTTATACAATATATATACACACACACCAGTTGAAAAAAAAGAAAGGACAAAAGCAAAAGGACGTGATTTTCATGTAATGGCGCACTAACACTGCATTATTAAAAACGAAACATCAAAAAAGAAAAATGGATTGATTGGTCGATGCCATTTGACAAATTAAAAAGCTATTCCTAATGTTGGATTTGCTTTTGGTAATGCAATATAATAGCAATCAGACGGGTAACATAATATAAAGCAAATGCCAGGAGTATGCCAACAAAGGATATTAAAAAAATCATATTTAAAATTTTCATGTTGGCATTAATTAATAAAAACAATAATAAAGTGACTTCCATTAGCGGAGGCATAGGCATTGGTATTTGAACATTTAAAATGTTCATGTGCGCATTAATTAATAAATAAACAATAATAAATGTTACTTTGATTAACGGAAGCATTGGTGTTTGATCACTTTTAAACTATTGCTTGGTTGGCTTTTGGTCTGTCAATGCATTGATATCTAAAGCGAACCCGCATGCCTTTGATTTGATCCCGCATGCCTTTGATTTGATCCCGCAACTTGGATTATAAATTGAAGCAAACCATTTGGATTTTCAACGTGGTTGGTCAAGATGGACTGGTCAGCGAATGTGTGCAGATAAAGTATTAGGTAATTTAAAATTACGGAGATTTGTACTCGGGCAAGATTGAAAGCCTGCTTTGCAGCTCTGTCAAAAATTAAATTCAGTAAAAAAAAAAGTAATAATTACAACAATAAATATATAATAAAAAAACAATGAGAGAGTTTTGAAGGGAAAAAAATTAGAGTTTGATTCAGAAAGAAAATTATGATTTTTTAAAAAAGAAATTATACGAATTTAAAGAATTAAAAAGGTAGAAATACAAAATATAAAGTAATATTTCTTAAAAAAATATTTGCGATAAAGTTAGGAATAAATACTGTGCAATAAAAGACTTGTCTCTTTCAAAAAAATAAATAAATAGAATGACGTGTTGACCCTAGACATGATGGAGTTTGACTTAGGTGACCTCGGGTTCGGATAAGGACTCGGATAACGGTTCAGACCATCGGGTTCTGGTCGTTATAGTTATTTTTCTACAAATATCAAGCATAAGCCTGAGGTCAAGCTGTTGTTGGACGGGGAGTTGCAAAGTTAGAGGGTTGTCAACAATTGGTGTTTAGTAGAACGATAAAGTGTGAGTCACAGTTAAAGTTCAGTGTACTTTGTTTCAAGCATAGTGAATCGGTTTACTTTGGACTGCACAATCCACGAGGTTTTTCCCATACAAACAATTGACTTATTTTATCAACTGGGGTTTCCTCGCTAAAATCCTGGTGTTATCTCTAACTTTTTACTTTGATTTATTTTATATTACATGATATTAATTTATTAATTACTAAAATAATGAAAGTTAGAAAAGTACAAAATTTTCTTTTAAAATAATCAAAACTTTCTAAATATTCGGTTGCGTACAACTCACAAATTGGTATCAAAGCCAATCTACACATTAAGTTGATCCTCGTTGGAAAGTTTTGTTTTGATTTTAAAAATTGATTTTTAATCATGTCTTATGCGTTGAAAGAAGGAGATTCTAATCAACGTGGTCCTTTGTTTAAAGGAGACAATTACAATTTTTGGAAATCGAAGATGAGAGCCTATTTACAAAATTCTGGCGGTAAAACTTCGGCTATAGTTGAATCTGTCTATTCACCACCTACAGAAGATAAAACTGTAGATGGTAAAGAAGTCAAGGTCTTAAAAGATCCTTTTGCTTTTATTGCTATTGAAATTGAGTGTAATGATGCTAATGGCAAAACTTTATATGCAATTATTAATTCTCTTGTTCCATCTAAATATGCGAGAATTTCTTATTGTAAAACTGCTAAAGAAGCTTGGTATATTTAGTAGGTTACTCATGAAGGAACTTCAAAAGTGAAGTTGTCCAAAATTCAGATGCTTTCTCATAATTTTAGGAACATCGTGATGAAAGAAGATGAATCTTTTCCGGATTTTTATTCTAGTCTTCTTGAAATAATTTCTGAACTGCGACACTTAGGTAAAAAAGTTAGTGATAAGAAAATCTGTGAAAAAATCTTAAGGTCTTTATCTAAAAGATTCCAGATTAGAGTTGAAACCATTACTGAACATTGGGATTTAACTACTTGTAAAGTTGATGCGATTGTAGGTTCATTGAAAACTTTTGAGATGCTGAACTTTGATTTAAATCAGAAGGAAAAAAATCTTGCTTTAAAATCAACACAGGTTGAGAATTCTGTGGGTGATAACTCTGATGTTGATTTTAATTTTCTGTCAAGGCAATTTAATCAGATCTTACAAAGACAACATAAGAGAAGGAATAACAACATGGCTAATCTTCAAAATTTTGACAAGACGTCAAAATTTAGGTTTAATGAAAAGAAAGTAGAAGAATCTAAAGAAACTGAATCACTTGTTGGAATTGTGGTGGCAAAGGTCATGCATCCAATGTTTGTCCTAGTCCTAGAAAAGAACAAAAAGATAGGTGATGAGTGTTCAAATGTGATGCATTTTAGCACTTATGCTAGGGTATTTTAGTCCATTCATTTATCTTACTTTCATGTTTTGTATTTTTGTCTATTTCAGGTCAATAAGGTTCAAAAAAGATAAAAAGATCCTTTTAGCACAGTTTTCGAGCTAAGGAGAAAAATAAAAAAAAATCAGAAAAATTA